TTTTTTTTCCTGGAAGCAGATTTTTCCGATTTCGATAAGACAGGCTCTCAACACCATCAGTTCGTTTCTCCCCAAGAATTCAAGCATACTCACTCCGTTGTCATTCACCTTGTCTTCTCCGTGCTGCCCGATGGCCTGTCCTCTACTGGAAGCTTTCCCTACTCTGGAGTTGAAATGACCCACCATGACAACTTCTTCTTTCCTACTGAACCTCCGGACATCTTCCCCAATTTGTCCAAAGTTCTCCTGCGCCTTGCTTGCGACATTCTTCGACGACGGTGGGACGTACACGTTCCCTAGCAACAAATTTCTCACCCCGCTCCCCAGGTACCTGGGGGTGGGGGGGTGAGGGGGTGTGCTCATAGTCGTGCATGCCGTAGTCGGTAGACCATTGACCTCGCATCCCTACGAAGCCGGGACGGAGCACGCCGGGTTCTCACCGGAACAGGCTCTCAAATCACCAAGCACGAAGCGCCGTGAGATATTCGGCGGGTCGCATGAAAGGTGCGCTGCATCCTGCTAAGGGTGTTCGGCATCTTGTGCTTACTTCCTGGCGTACGGATGACAGCTGCGTATGACTTAATATATTTTCTGGTACTTTGACTTCCAGAGACAGTTATGAGCACTGTGTAACTGCCTCGAGGGTGCTTTGGGGGGGGGGGAATCTGTACTAGGGGGGGCGAACTCCGTAGTTTACGGTAGGTGCGCGTCAGAACGACTGCCTAAAAGGGAATACGGTAGGACCGCGAACTACGATAGATGTTAACTTTCGAAATCGTGACAGGACGTCAATGCGACGTGTCAAGACGTGCCAAGAAGCCGAGAAGTGTTATAATGTGAACGAGGGCTCCGGGCGAGAAGACTTCCAAGTCTAAAGAAATGATGATTTGATCTCCTGGCAACGATCGAGACATGATCGTTGTTACATTTTGCGGTCAGGGAAAGGCTCTTCCTAGAGAGAGTACCCCGTCCCCTATGTCGCGCAAACCCCGGGTCACCATGACGCCTCAGGTCACTCGTAACAACTCACAGGGCTCCGGATCAACCGAGCACTGGTTACTTACAACATACAACAGCTACTACGACAAGGGGAAGGTCGTGTGACGTGGTAACAAGGGACGCCGATCCCGGTGGTCGCAATGCATCATTTATCAACTTTGTAGGAATATTAATTGTATTCTAGCAAACGTTTATGAAGACTTTGGTATGAACCCCGCCGGCGGGGGGGGGTCAGGTACTCCCCGCATCCACGGGTGTTCAAGAGCGGCCTGTAGCCCGATGCGTTGGAGCGGATCCTTGCACAGCATCCCCCGAAGCAAAGAGGTCAACTCGGGAGAAACCGCCTTCCCCACATCCACTTGCTGCTCCTTGATCTTCTCAAACACCCGCTCCAGAGATGGGTCGTGAAAAGGCAGGCATCCAAAGGTCCAGCAGTAGAGGGTGCACGCCGCCGCCCAGGCGTCGGCTGCGCGCCCGGAGTAGGTTTTCCCGTCACCCATAACGCTCTCCGGAGAGTGGAAGGTGTAGGTCCCCACCGAACCCGTAAGACCTTCCTCCTCCTCCTCCTGCTCTATTGCCGCTTCTACTTTTCGTTGATGTTGCTGCTGCCCTTTGTGGTGTTGTGGTTGTTGCTGGTCTTCTTCGTGACACCGCCCCATCGCTTCGCTGCCGGTTGCGTCTTTGCTTTTGGACGGCTGTCGGCGCACGATTTTCACGTAGCGAGCGCACCCGAAGTCGCAGATTCGAAGAGTCCCGTTCTCGAAGATGAGGAGGTTGTCCGGCTGTTGTTGAAGATTGTTGCGGTGAGGGGCGAGGGGAGAAGGTCGCACACACACACGCACACGAGAGGCAGATAGAGAGAGGTAGACGATACATGATCATAAAGCCACTTCCGAGGCAACATCCAAATGTCTGTGTCGGGGTAACGGGGGTGCTATTCTTGCATCACACGGGGCTAATGCCGAAACCTAATGCTCCATACGACAATGTCCAGCGGTAGACACCCCAAAACACGAAGCCCTCACGATAACACACCGATCCCCATGACCACACCTTGACGTCACGGTGGACGATGTTCTTTCCGTGTAGATATAGCAGCCCTTGCAGCAGATCGCGGAAGAGAGGCTTGGCCTCATCCTCCGAGTAGAAGCTCCCTGCACCTGCACCCCCGCCCCCAGCCTTAGTGCCAGACCCGCCCCCATCAGGACGTTTGAATAACCCCGATTCGTCGTCGAACGTCATGGTCGGCCCCCCTTCCATGTACTCCTCCACCATGCACACGCGCCCCTCCTGGCCGTCCTCCCACTCATCTTGCTCCTCTAGCACCTCGAACAAGAGTACAACACTCCGGTGGTAGAGGTGTCTCATCACCTCTATCTCTTGTCGCATCTACAAGAAAGGAGCCGAAGAGGCGGTGGTCCCAGCGGCAGTGTTTCACGCGCAGAGAGGACGGCAGAAGGATGCGAGAAGGACCCGAGTTAATGGCACCCAACACAGCCCGAGGGCAAGATTCGTATTGCCGCCTAACAGCACAGCCAACAGAACAGAACGTACCAAGACTGATAAAGAGAGGATAGACGGAAACATGCGGCGTGCAGACAGGTGAGTACGGCTGTGATTCTTTGAGGCACAATCGTGCACACGCACCTTTTCTTCGGCGGTCACCTTCCGCATGCCACCCGCGGGCACGTTCACGTACTCGCTCATCCGCCTGAGCCTAGGCTTGCTCATGACCTTCATCGCGAAGCGTCGCCACGGGGTGGCCACGCCGTCGCCGACCCGCCTCTCACACAGGTAAACCCTCCCGTAGGACCCCTTCCCGAGCTCTTCGAGGAGTACGTACTCGTTGACTGTCTGCTGGCCCTCCTCGTTCTTGCTCCATCGGGCGTTGTTAGTAAAAAGGCAGTCCCACGGCCGCTCTTCTTGCTGCTGGGGCTGCTTAGACTGAAGCGCACGGAGGGGGTGGGGACAAGCGGCAATTTTTGGCTCTGTTTTGGTCCTCGGGCAGATATCGCTGCCCTTCTTGAGTTTTGCGGAGAGCCACCGCACCGCCGTATGTGCGTACAATGAGGCCGCATGTAGGATTCAAGTTCTGAGGTCTGCAACAACGCGTGCTAGTACATCAGTAACTGTGTTGTTGCAGACCGCGCAACAAGCATGTCGATGGATAGCACGACTGCTGTACGTAAACTGCAAAGTGTCCGTGTGACGCTGCAACTCCATTTTTCTCTCCGTGGGGTGCCTGGTTTGGAGACGAGGGTATGGCTTGAGGGAAATACAGAAGCGGAGCTCTTTTGTGTGACCACGGATCGTAGCTCTCCTACGGACTTGCCTCTGCTGTTGTACAAGACCTACAGCGGAAGGATCCGTGACCGTGGGGCATGGTGTACACACGGAGATGAACTTCTAGGAATGGCAACTACCGCAGAACCAAGGCAAAAAACAAAAAACACGGAAACAATGAACGCCTGTGTGATCTCGGGTGTTGAATCCGCACTGCATACGTAACGTGTAGATATATGCCAACAATACACATGGTTACGCATACCAGCAGCGCTTCTACGCGCAAACGACAACTAACGTATTCAACCGAACCTGATTCCGCCGCATCTTGCATCGCCGCACTTCCTGCGGTTGGTTGTCGTAGACAACAGCAGCGAAACACTGCTTGTATTTTGTAACCAAATACCTTGTACCGGTAGGCTATTCTTCTGAAATATAGGAGACGTGTGCGCAGTAGGCTCGCCTCATCTTCGCTGGCTGAACCGGTCGCGCCGGTACCGGCAGTAGGAGTTTTCGGCGGTGCATTGCAGATGCTACGGGGTGGCGAAGGCGGAGGACCTAAGCTGTCGTCATCATCAATACTCAAACCCGCGTCCTGAGCGCCACTCATGTAGCCTCAAGCTCGCTGTGAGGCGTGCCCTGTGCGAGAGAGAGAGCGGAAGAGAGAGACAAGAACGAGCGGAGTGATCCCTACAGGCGAACCAAGACTACCATTTCACTGTCGACACACGATCACACGATGCACGAGAGAGCGAGAGAGGCCCCCAATCAAACGCCGTCGCCCCCGCATTATTATGCCGCATCCGAAAGAAAGCTGTAGCGTACACAACAATGCAATGTTACTTGTAGGCAGTTTTGCTGCATACTATCAATAGAAGAAACGTAGACGTGAATAGGCTGTGGGTTCAGCCATGCTTGCTGGCTTTCCTCGAAGAGCTGCATTCGCCGCCACAACGTCGTCACTTTTTGCCCGCCAAGCAAGATCCTCTCCGTCGCTGTCTTGCAACACCGCCACCAAGAGGACCATGTCTTCCGACTCTGTTGCCCTTCTCCTCGGCGACAAGTTTCCTGATTTCGAGGCAGAGACGACGGCGGTGAGTGGTTGTGTACTGGAATGTTTATGGCTTCTGTTGACCGCAGTGCGCGGGAACAGAGTGTGTTAGCCCACGACAAAATGTTCGAAAGCGTGCTTGTCCTGAATCGGAAATAAAAAAGCATGTGTATGAGACAGTCTTAGATGGCATACACATGTGCATCGGTATTACAGTGCCGACCCGCACTAAAGAACCTCCTACTCTGAGCGAGGCTCAGTTCTTATTGGCTGCCCCGACCCGAGCACCAGTTCTTATTTGCCAAGTTCTTACTTCGTTGCCCCATTCTTCTCCAGAAATGGGGGTTCTTGTTCTTACTTCAACACCGATGCTCTATTGGCGTATTTTGACGGCGTACTTTGGCGGCTGCAACCATGAGGAACACTCCCAGAGGGGCAGACGACAGAGTCCAATGGTGGGAGAAAAACAAACAAACAAAACTGCTGTTGGTGTTTGGTACAAGAAAACACCAAGGCATGGAGCAGCAACTGTCAACCTTGTTGGTCCACAATTCGTACGCTGGTGCTGCGTACCCTTCCCGATCTACTAAAGCTCTCAATCAAGCAAAACCCAGGAGCCTGCAGCCGTATCCGGATCTCCGCTGCACTTGTTGAAGGGCAACTTCATCGTGCACGTGCTCTGGTACAGGTGGCGAGTGTCCTTCTGAGATTGTTGAGTGATCAACCCTTGAAACCACCCCATCCTCAGCCTAGCGAGCTCTCCACGTCGCAAAAGCAATCTGTCAAGAGCAACGGGTTTAGCTTCTCGAATACGAAAGCCTGCCGGGATCTCTATTCCCTGTGTTTCGTCCTCCGGGTCGTGTGGGTCCACCTTATCGTCGTCGCCCAGAAGAGCTAGCTTGTCGGTCTGGGGTAGCGACGTGTCTGCGAACAAGGCACCTGGTAACACGACAAGAAGCTAGGGTGTCACGTCGCCATATCTCAACATGAGCCTATCACCATTTGCTCGGAGTCGTGCGCGGAAACAGCACATTAGCAAAAACACAAGCAAACATGAACGACATCGTCATCAACAAATGGAATGATGAAGAGTGGGTCTAGTTCAAAACAAATTACCGCCGTCGTCTTCATCGCTGGAGTCAGCGCCCTCCACGACCGTCTCACGTCCTCCATTGCCCTCCTACCCCCGCCCCTCAGGCTCATCGCTGCCGTTCTCCGAACCTTGTTCGTCCTCGCTACTGTTAGCCCTGCACCTGACCCCCCTTTTTGGTGTATGCGCGTGGTCGGGCTGTTGGCTGAAAAACCACGAAAACAAAGTTTTTACGCTTTTCCGGTTGGCGACGCCAAACCTTGTTTTGACTTGATATTAAAAAGTGGGAGGGAATCCCGGAATACTCGATGCCACCAATGAGATGGCTATTGCGGTTCACTACACACCCGTGAACAGGGCACATCTATGGATTCATCGGTCAGTTTTTCAATCGGCAGAAACATACCCATCGAGCCCTAAAGAAACATGTGATTTTTGGCCTGTTCCACCTGCTGCCACGAACGTGTGCAACGTAAACGAAAATCGCCACCGATGAAATCGTAGCTATCGTGTTCACGGAGGTGGTACACGAAACCGCTCCAGAACCCGTTGCTCCAGCATATGTCAAAACGAATCCTGCGATGGGGTAGTTTTGGGTCCAAGACGTCACCCTCTTGTCAAGCCAAAAAAACGTGGTGACCACACAACAACCAGCCGACTCGGCAGCGACGGGCGGATCAAGGGCGCGGAGGCCCACGGCCATCTACGGGGCGAGCGCCTACTGCAGGGAACGAGCTCTGGAGGGAGCAATAAATACTAGGGGGGAGGGCGAGGGGGTAGCCTTGCTGGGGTTTGGGAGCGGGGGCGAAACAGGCGCGACGGTGCAAACAGCTCAATTGTTGTATTGGGATTTTGAGTCTGTCAAGCGTTTCTTTTTTTGCCCATGAACTGACTTTTGGGCGGCATTGCTTGACTACACCACCGGCGCTATACTGCAGCTCGTGCTGCCGGGTCTGCGCCGTCAGTAGCAGTGGCTTCCCTGCTTTCCTTGCAGTGTCTCCTCAATCCCTTGAGGGGGCGGCAAGGGCGACGGCGGCCTCAGTTCCTTTTATCGTATCATGTTGTAAAAATCAGAGACCGGCCGCCTTTCTGGTCGGTGTTTGTTTTTCCGCTCATCATCTCCAAAATTTGCAAAGGCGCAACGGCCCTGCCACCGGCGCTACTGCAGCTGTTGATACCGTTCCTGCACCATCCGTAGCAGTGCCTTCTTACTTTCCTTGCAATGTCTGTTGAGCCCCATAGACGGGCAGTGACGGGGGTGGCTGTTGCAAATCCGTTTCGGTGTGTGTTCACTTTGATGAGATCGTTGCCTCTTCCGTGTGTGTGTGGGACGCGTTGTTGAACGGACTTGTGGCCCGCATTGCTTGACTCCACCACCGGCGCTACACTGCAGCTCTTCCTACCGTTGCTGCGCCATCAGTAGCAGTGGCCTCCCTGCTTTCCTCGCAGGGTCTCTTCAACCCCTTGGAGGGGCGGGAAGGGCGGCGTCGGCAGTTTCTTTGTTGTACCATGTTGTAAAAATCAGACCTACCTGCTCTCTCCAATCGGTGTATTTTTTCCGCCTATCCGCTCACCTCTGAAATTTGTGCCCGGGCGCAACGGCTCTGCCGCCGGCTCAAACTGCAGCTTTTGCGACCGTTCCTGCGGCACGAGTAGCGGTGACTGTCCTGCTCTCAACGCAATGTCCCTGCGGCCCCACAGCCGCGTGGGAACGGGGGCGGCTACAGCAATCCTTTTCGCTGTCAACTCAAAAACAAATCAAGACTCACAACAGCCAATTGTGCAGTCGTTTCGTCTGTTGAACGGACGTGGCTGCCAAAAACGTGGGGATTGACTGGCCACGAAATAGTGATTTCAGAGGGAAGGCTGTTCGAAAGATGCTCCGTGTGACAGAATCTGGGCCAAAAAACAGGGTCATGCACAGGGCTAACTGTCTTCATCGTTTGCGATGAAGGTGTACGGCTTGTCCAGACCCTCCAAGGTGATTCGATCATCACCTGAGCCGTCCACAGTCATGGCCATCCCGCACTTCTTCGGAATGGCGGTATCGGAATGCCTGTTGGCTGTTGAGTCTTGCCATGGCCGCTCCCATCCACTGAGTGATCAGTACCCGCCGACCAGCAGCTGTCCGCGACGCGGTTTCCCACTTCCCGAGATTGTCCGACTGCTCGAGCCATATGTCCACCTGCCTCCCAACTTCCACCTTGAGAAATCGCCCGGCTCCTGCACCGACTGGCTGCACCTCGTCCGTGCACTCCGAAGGGCCACACCTGGCGAGAGTATTACATTGCTTCGCAAGGCCTCCCTTGAACTCGTCCGTCGTCTGCGCGTGCAAGTTGTCCATGATAAGAATGGACCTAGCCTTGGGGAGCTCACCCCGCCCGCGCATCAGGCCTTCGCTGTAGGACCTCTTCGCCCACTCCATCCAGAAGTGTTGGTCGGCCCATGCATTCTCCTGGAAAAACACGTCCACGTCCTCGTGGTACGCGACTTTCTCCACCGGCGAGATCCGCTTTCCTGTGCCTCGGAAAATCACCAAATTTCGCATAGTCTTCTTACGGACCAAGGATGACTTGCATGGTGCACTGTCTTTTCTCTAGGCCAGGAAAGGGCTGCGAGATTGCTACCCGCAACGCACCTCTCTTGTCCTACGTGTCGATCAGCCCGTTTACGAATGCCAAAGGTACTTGATCCACATTCCAACACTCCCACAGCTGGAATTGACGGCTCGTGGCACACTGCACGTTGCGTGGCACGCCGCACGTTTCGGGGGCACCCGGGGGCACGACGTGTACAGTGCCCGCCTTCCCCCCCTCTGACATAATACAAATTTTAGGTATGTAGGTGCCACCCCTAACAACCTTCCCCCCTCCCAAATCCAATACTACTGGGATCACCCCCCCTCTTCCCCTTCCCCCCCCTGCGAATATTCATATCTGGTAGCGGCTGCGTTGCTCTCGTTCTTATCTGTAGCAGTAGTGGTGCACCTCAGGTGTGTGTTCTTGTTCTTAACAGGACGTGCAGTCTGAGCACGTGTTCTTTTCGGCAAATTCTGAAATTTGGGATTTTTTTTGCCTCAAATTCATAAGTGCCATACTCGTAAGTGCGGGCCGGCACTGTATGCGCACCTTTGCCCCGAAAAAAGCTCCGCACCCGGCGCTAAAATGCATGCATAGTGCACGGTACTGCAGTGTACATGCGCAGCCCCGTCGAAGGATGCGTCGTTAGTGATCTCAGCAGGAAGCCACTCCGATGTACTAAAAGGGGTCTTGGCTACAGCGTGCTCTCAAAAGGGGAGTAGGCGAGAACATGGGCAAGCTCGCACG